CATGCAGCAGAATCCTTGTGCATCAGACTGTGTTATGTTGTTGCCACAATCTTAAAAATAAAACTTGTACAAAAAAAAACCATGGCATTTGTACTCTAAATTGTGTACCTCACAAGGACTTCTTTAATTTCTGAAAATGCTGATAATGAGGGGGAAATCATGAGATAGTTACCTCTTTGATTAAAGCATTATACACATCTCAATGCAAAGCGACCCTCTCATTCCAAACATATGCATTGTACTAAATGTGACAGGCAGCCAGCTTTTACATCCTAAGAGCAGTCAAACCCTAACAGATTTACACAAATGATACAGGATCCAAGCTGGACAATTTGTTATTTTGTTTTTTGTGATGTCTAAGTTACTATAATTCTCGGCCTCAGAAAGGAATCAGATTTCAAGTCTTTCTTCACATTATATCAGAAATACTAAAAGTTAATTCAAATTTGTCAGCTTTCAGTCAGAAAAGTCACATGACACCAGGTTATAGCCCAACAGGTTTATTTGAAATTACAAGCTTTCGGAGCGGAGCCCCTTTGACAGATGAAGTTTGAAAGCTTGTGATTTCAAATAAACCTATTGGACGATAACCTCGTGTCATGCGACTTCTGACTTTGTCGACCCCAGTCCAAAACCGGCACCTCCACATCAGGTCAGCTTTCAGGGTCAACTGCTCATCTCTTCAATTTGATTTGGTTCACAATGACAATAACTGTCCCAAGAGAGATCTTGCATATCCTCTTTTGAAATACTCACTGCGCTATCCAAACCATCATGGCTGTTGGTCAGCATTATAGGTTCTGGCACCGGCAAATTGAGGTCTGAATGAATAGTAGCCAAATCTGAAACGTTCAAGAGGGGTTCCTAGAAAGAATATATCTAGTGTTAGATACATTTACAAAAGTAAAACCCAAAAACAGTGCATCATGAAGCCAGTCAGTGCAAACACAGCAATAGTGCAATTTCCGAGAGATAAAGAAAATAAAATAATTTCCAATGTATTGGTTACAAACAATAATGAGATACTTCCAATAAAAATATCAAAAGATTTGACTCTCATTACTTAGCAAATGAAAGTGCCCATTATAATACTACCCATAAATAGAAAGACCTCCAAAATTTCTCTTTCAACACATTCAAGAATTAGTTATATTGTTTTGCACAACATTATTATTTGCCTAACACAATAATGAAAAGATATTGACAAAACTAACTGGAAATGCACAAGTCATACAGAGAAACCTGAACACAAAACTTGTCATTCTTGGATGGCAGTTATTGCAGATCTACACATCCCTGAACACTAGTTCTTTTCATTAAAATATTCATCTGTAACAAAGCAATAAATTTACAGATCCCTCATTTCCAGCAAGGAAGGCAGTTTAGAGCTTTCAGGTGTAGAATGTTGTCACCTTACGCCCAATCCACAAGCCTTTTGAGTATAGGCTCTGGGTTCGGTGAATTTATCCTAAGATCATCAACTTATTTATATCCAGTAAATGATTGAGTCTTACCTTTAGAAAACCATCTAGTTCCAATAACTTCTTTGGAAAGAAACTTGCAACCAAGTCTTCTGCCTGAAATGCAAGACATAAATGTAAATCAGAAGAATTTTACATGGAATTGACTGTTCCCATAAAAGCAGTACTACTTGCTGGATAACTAATGTATCACAAACCATAATGGCATATGGAAATTCTCACAGGAAAATTATTTATGGTGGAGGCATAATGGTAATGTCACAGAACTGGAGGATAATGCCTTTTGGCCACAGGCCGACGGTGAAATTTGAAATCAATAAAATCTGGAAATAAAAGTTGGCCTGAAGGTAACCACACAGCCACTGTTGAGTGTCATAAAAAAATCTTGTTTACTAATGTAGAATGTGCTGTCCCTACTTGGCCTAGTCTGCATGTAAATCCAGATTCAGCAATGTGGTTGACCTTAAAACTGTCCTCTGAAATTGCCTAGTAAGCCACTCAGTCGCATCAAACTGCTACGAAGTCTAAAGAAAGAAATGAAACTGACAGTGCTCCTGGCATGAACCTAGACACCGGAAACGACAAGTGCAAACACAGCCTTGTCAGTCCTGCACTGGCTTCCTTACCAACACCTGGGGACAAGTGCTAAAACTGGAAGAGCTATCTCAGACTAGATAAGCAACAGCCTGACAATCATACTCACAGGATCGTACCTTATGGACACAATTTCAGAGACCACCATCGTCATCCCTGGGTATGTACTGCCCCACGAGCGGGGTAGACTCGGTGGAGTCAGCAGCACAGTGGCATGCAGTCAGGAAGAAATTGCCCCGAGTGGTCAACATAGCCTCTGGACATCAGGAAACTTAATGGCATCAGGTCAGAAATGAGCAAGGAAACTCCTGCTGATTAACATCTACCACCCACACTGAGCTGACAAAATCAGAAATTGTTGAACACACTTGGAGGATGAACTGAGGGTGGAAAGAGCGCAGAATGTACTCTTGGTGGTGGACTTCAATGTCCATCACGAGTGGTTCAATAGCACTATTACTGACTGAGGTGGTCAAGTCCTAAACAATACAGCTGCTAGAGTGGATCAGCAGAAAGTTGTGAGGTAACCAATGAGGCAAAAATCTACTCAACCACACCCTCACCAAACTACCTTCCACAGATGTGTCTGAAGAGTGACCACTTTACAGTCCTTGTAGAGACAAAAGTCCCATCTTCACATTGAAGATACCCTCCATTATTCTGAGAAGCACTACCACTATTTAAATACGAGAGACTTCAAACAGATCCAGTAACTCAAAACTGGGCATCCATGAGATGTTTTGGGCCATCAGCACCAGATTTCTACACATCTATAATCTCTTATGGCCATGCATATCCATTACCGTTACTATCAAACCAGGAAATCAGCTGCAGCTGAAGTGCATGCAGGACAAGCACCAGGCGTACCTAAAAGTGCAGTGTCAAGCCAGTGGAGTTACAATTCAGGACTACTTGTATGCAAAACAATTTGGAAGCAACATGTAACAGATAGATCAAAGTTCTGTAGCTGTGTCCGTCATGAATGATGGTGGTTTGGACAATTCAACAACTACAACCACAAATGTCTCTAGTTTCAACAACAGGAAGCTTAGCACATCAGTGCAAAAGACATTGAAGTATTTGCATCCAGCTTCAACCAGAAGTGCCAAATTGATGATCCATGTTGGCTTCCTCCTCAAGTCCCTAGCATCACAAATGTCAGATTTCAACCAATTTAATTCATTCCATATAACAAAGAAACAGTTGTATGTGCTAGACGCTACAAAGGCTTTAGGCCTCGGGAACAGTCCTGCAATAGTACTAATGGCTTGTGCTCCAGAATTAGTTGCACCCCTTGTTAAGTTGCCCCAGTACAGCTACAACACTGACATCTACCCAACAATGTGGAAAATTGACTTGTTATGCCACATGCACAAAAAGCAAAACAAATCCAACCCAGCAATTACCATCCCATCAGTCTAATCTCCACCATCAGAGGTAATGAAATGGTATTGAGTGTTATCAAATAGCACTTGGAAAAGAACAACCTGCTCACTGACTCTCAGCTTGGGTTCTGCCAGGGCCATTGGCCAGCCTTGGACCTCATTACAGCCTTGCTTGAAACATAGACAAGAGAGCTGAACTCCAGAACAGAGGGTGAGGTGAGAATGAATGCCCTTGGTGCCAAAACAGCATTTGGCATGGGGTAACAAGGCGCCTGAGCAAAACTCGTGTCAATGGGAATCAGGGGGATATGGAATCATAGCTAGCACAGAGGATGGTTGTGGTTGCTCGTGGTCAATGATCTCAGCCACAGGACATCATTGTAGCAGATCATTAAGGTAGTGTCCTCAGCCCATCCAACTTCAATGGCATCAATGACCTTTCCTCTATCATAAGGTGGGAGGTTCATTGATGATTATGCAATGTTTAGCAACAGTCGCAACACATCAGAACCAAGCGCATGCATTAGTTGGGAAAGTCTGAAGCCTTAATTTATACAAACCCGATTTAGCCTAATTTAGGTTGTAACGAGCATTAAGTAGAAATCTACAGTTCAAATTCTATAGGTGCTATTCTTAAGCAGGGTTTCTTATTCAAGGCTTGCAGGGAAAGAGATGATTAATTGAATATCAATTGAAATTGGATCATCATTAAGGTACTCAGGCAGATCACTATTGTTGGGAGCATATACAAGTTGCCAATGTCATGTGACTTAGTCCTTAAGTGCAACTTGCAATAGAGTGCCGGTGTTGAGTACTCTAAGGTCAGCAGAGGAGAAACAGAGGTGTTTGGTTGCTCTTGCTTAAACAAAACAACTGTTTGCATGTATGTCTAGTCTTTAAAGTAAAGATTTTAGTTGATGTTTAGGTCTTAAATATTTTTCTCTTTTTCTTAAAAGTAGCTTGTTAGGTCTACGATTGATTCTGACACAAAGAATTACAATAAAGGGTAAACAGCAGGAATACTAGAATGATTAGCTAATAAATGAAATAAAACATGATAGAAATGGCAGATCAGGTTATAATTTGCTGCTACTTCAGCATGTGGAGCTGTTGGACTCCAAGGTGTTTCAGAGTAAACACATCTGTAGCAAGTGTTTGCAGCTTGAACTACTTTGGTTCTAAGCTGAGGAGCTGAAGTCTGAGCTACAAGACATTGCAGCACCTCAGGGAGGGGGCACATTACATGGACATTTTGTTCCAGGAGGTGGTCACACCCGAGACTAGGTCATTCAAATATGGTCTGCGATCAGGAACAACAGCATGTGACCACAGATGAGGCAGGTATGGGAAATTATTTGAGATGTCTTGTTCCCTGTAATTATCCATCAGTTATTAAGTTCTTGCAAGTTGCGTGGATGAGACTGTGATACACAGAGGATGAGTGAGCTGACCAAGGCATCATGATACATGGAGTTATTTAAAGTAAGGGGAGATAATAGTAAAGCTACAGTGGTAATAACAGTATAATCATGTGGGGGAACAAAGGATTAGAGACATAGAGATACTGCTCACTGTAGCCACAAGTGAGCTATGGCTGTGCCTGGAGCCAGGTTTAAGGACATCCTCAGGGCTGGAGAGGAACTTGGAGTGGGAAAGGAGGGATCCAGTTGTTGTCATCCACATTGGTACCAACGACATTGACAGACCTAACAAGGAAGTTCTGTGTTAGGAACCAAATTAGAAAGCAAATCTTCAAGGTAATAATCTGGGATTACTACCTGAGCCACGGACAAATCAGCAAAGGGTAAATAAAAGCATGTATTTAAACGTGTGGCTCAAACTGGTATAGGAAGAATAGGTTTCCATTCATAGGGCATTAGTTCTAGGGTAGAAGGAAACTATGCAGAAAGGCCAGGCTACACATCAATTGTGCTAGGACTGGTGTCCTAGTGAGCAGAATAATTAGGCCTGTAGAGTGGGTTTTAATCTATTTGGATGTTGGGGTGAGGTTTGTTCAGAAGAGAGAATATGTAGGCATACTAAGCAAAATGAGACAGTAGCATTGCAGAACAGCTTCTTAGATAACGATACCGAGAGTGAAATAGGAACAAATGGGAGCGTGGAAACATTTAAATAAAAAGCTGCAAATATTGTAATTGTACAAGCACCACTAACTTAACACAATAGTTTACAATTAATGGTATGAAGTCAGTTCTGCTTTTTATACCCATTCAGCCCCTCTACCCACCCAAGAACCTTGAATTTGATCACTTCCACAAGGACCTACCCGTAAGATATGCCACAGTCCATAGGAATTCACATTATTTCTCATCCATGTAACCATACAAGGTTAAGTTTTTTTTTTGGGGATTTCTTCATCATCAACATTTTGATTGAGTGACTCTGGGGCCAAAACAAATGTACTATCGCCAAGTTCGCAGATGAAATAAAAATAAGTGGGAAGGCTAGTTGCAAGGATGGTAGAGTCTATAGAGGGATAAATAAAGGTTAAGAAAAGTGAATAAAATCTTAGCAGATGGAATGGAATATAGGGAATCGTGGGGTTATGTACTTTGGCAGGAAGGATAGAGAAGCTGAATAGTTTTAAAATAGTTTTTAAATAGAGAAAGCTGTCAGAAAGTTATGAAACAGAGGGGTTTGGGAGTCCTTGACCATGAATCACAAAGCTAGCTTCCAAGTTCAGCTGGTAAGAGACAAATGTAATGATTGTCTTTATTTCAAAAGGAATGGAATTATAAAAGTAGGGAAGTTTTGCTAAAACAATACAAGTCAGACCACAGCTGGTATACTGCAAACAATTCTTGAGCACTTATCGAAGGAAAGCTAGATTGGTATTGGAGGTAGTCAAGAGGAGATTCATTAGGCTAATACCAGGTTTGGAGGGACTCTCTTACAAGGAGAGATGGAGTAGCTTGGACCTGTACTTGCTGGAATATAGAAGACTGAGAGGCAATCTTATTGAAACACACAAGACTCTTAGCAGATTTAAAGTGGTAGATGCAGAAAGTTGTTTTGCCTTGTTGGAGAGCCTAGAACTAGAGGGCATGATCTCAGAATAAGGAGTTGCACATTTAAGATCGATCAGGAGGGTAATGAATCTGTGGAATACTTTACCAAAGAAGGCTACCGAGGCTGGGCCATCAAGCATATTTAAGGCTGAGATAGACAGGTTTTTAATCAGTAAGGGAAGCAAATATTATAGGGAAAAGGCAAGGAAGTGGAGTCGACGATTATCAGCAACAATCTCACCAAATGAGGAGCAGATTTCACAACCTGCAGATCAGACTTTGGATCCTGCTTCTCCTGGTTTTGGTTGCTGGTAAATGTCAAACTGCCTTCTCTCAGCCGCCAAGCTAATTTTGTTGACTGCTCTTTGTCTCGAAGCTCTGAGATGAACACTGTAGTGGTCTTTTTCTAGCTGCAAATTCTTCCAGCTACATTTTCCTCTAGCTTCAACTGAGACTCAACCACATTCTGCACCCTGAACATTAAAGTTAGTAGATCCTATCCTTCTAGAGAACTGTAAACAGTAAACAGCTCCTTGTGGGACAGCATAACAAAAATCCCAAGGCCAATGGAAACTTACCAAAATGTCATTATAAGGGATGATAATGCATTCATGCTGCAGTGCACATTGGCCTTTACTACGCTAGTGCACTCTCCATGTTCCATTGACACCTGGACTTGGGCATAAACATGGAAAGGACACACACAGTCTAGTGCTATGACCTCCTTCACTGCCCACTGCATGGACCTATTGATGTTCACTTTGACCAGACTAAGGAGCAGGCCCACGATCCGTCTTCTGATCTGCCAAAACCTAATGTACATTGGGTGCGCACTGATAAGGAGCAGTGGGCTGAAGTGCAACCAAAAATTTAAGCTACCTCTTTAAAAAGGGTTACAAAATAAAACATTCAGAATACATATAAAAACAGTCTGGCACGCAGCACTTAAATGTGTCTTGCATGGCACTGCTGCATGCAACATTCTTCATCCCAGGCTCCTGTTGGAAAGAGGAAGGAGCCTCCTTATAAGAGACCCCTCCATTGGGTATTGCCACTTCCAGGAGTAGAACATTATACCAAGGCATGTCCGCATGGCAAACAGAAAATTCCTCCATGCCCATTTGAATGGATTTCCTCAGGAGGGCTCAATTGTGGAGTACTGAAACCCAAAGGAGAAATTAGTATTTTCTATACTTCAAGTGAAGTCCCGACTAATAATCATCTCCTGTCAGTCCAGAGATACTGCATACACGAAAACAATACTGCAACAGTCTCCTTTCTGAAAAGGCACACTGATAACTTAAACAAAAGAAACTTCTACCACCGCAATTTTTCTTTCCTTTTGTTCAGCCCATCTTTATAGTATGTCTTGGGATGGTCCAATCAAAATGTAAACAAATTATATAACATTAAACATAATTCTTTGATTCTATAACCAGCATTAATATTTGATATTTCTTATGGAGGTAATTACCATCTCTCCAGACTCGATGTCCATGAAGAAACTCCTAAGTTTAAAAAAGCTGCTTTCAGCTTCATTCATTGGATTAAGAGGTCTTCTGGATCCATTACATGTCAAGACAGAAGACCACCGTCTATCGCAGCCATAACTCTCTGACCTTGCTAGATAAGTACAAGTTACCTTTCAAGTGTAATAAGGCTAGGCTTGTTTCAGTTGCATTCATTCAAGATGCATACATATTTCTTAACCAGTAGTTTCCAATTATCCTTCAGTTAACATTTTAAACTTTAATCTAAAATTTCTAATCCTGAAACGTTTTCTAAAACTCGTGAATCACAAACAAGATTTTCAGAACGTAAACAGAAAATTCAAGCCATAATAGAGCAACAGAATAAATATTACTTTATTCTTATACAAGTCTTACTTACCTCCTCCAAGGTTTAGTGTGAACAATGACACTGCAGTCATTTACATACTATAGATCACGTGTGTCTATAGTGTTTAGTTTTGGAACGAAGATGAATGAGGTTCCACCTCCAATATATGTTGAAAGAGAAATCTCAGAATATATTGAACGCTTATCAGAATGACACAGTCACCTCTCTCAAAAGGCCACAAGGTGATCCAACACTGGATCAACTGTGCCAACTCAACCATCTTCAAACTACAGCAACAAAGGTTCGACCGCAAAGACCTCTTCAAATCAAACAAAAATCTTGGAGTGCGGGTGATTGTTGTTAGAAGATCTGGACTTTGTCTAATAGATACACAAGAGTGCTAGAGAAATTCCATCAGCAATAACTCTTATCGCATTCTCCAGATTCAGTGGGAGGTCTCTCAAACAAAAGCCACTTTCTTTCTTGAGGACAGTTCTACAAGCACTGAGGCAAAACTCCTGTAAAGTTAACTATGAGGGAGACAAACACAAGTGTTCAGACTGTCAAATACGGTCTCTCTACCAGGTCATTTTCACAACTCGTCTGGCTAGCCTTCCAGAGAATGATGAAAACGCTACAGATGCACACAAACTCTCCTTGAAGCACAACAGCGTTGACATTAATGACAATAATGTTAAGGCAAAGCTGCAGCTGAGGAAAGAAAAAAGTAAATCCTGCACGTTGAATGCTACTAACTCACGGGTCATTCTATCCCATATGCCCAGACACCTGCCAGTCGAGAATCTGCCAGAAACATATGACAGTGGTTGGGAAGAAAATTTTACCCGCAGATGCAAAGGATGAGTCTCCTGCTTACAAGGACTCCAACACCTGGTCAGCTCCATTTTTAGGGGTATGATTGTGATTATCACCCACCGTCATCTTAGATCATGTACCATTGTGTGATTAGGCAGGCAGCCAAGTCTAGTACATCACCATTGCTGTTCTGTAATGGTCTGAAAGTAACTTAGCAGTCTTTGGACAAATCACCTGTTAACTTTCTGACATCTGCTGGGAGGTGTCCAGGATCGAGTTAGGATGTTCCATCAACACATTATCGAGATCAGGGACTGAGTAAAGGCTAGTGCATGAAGAAATCAGATTGATCTCCTGTATTTACCACCACAGGACGATATAACCACAGTGGCCAGCACTGTGATACTTACTTCTTCTCACCCAAATCAAGAGAACAGCATGAGGGACAGGGTCTGAAAACCTATACAATCCTCATCTATCCTACCATTGCCAAAAATTGACCCATGATCCCACTGGTAATACCATATTGCAATAAACTCAATTTGGGTTTCTATATGAAGTCAAACAGGAAGTCAATGAATAGCTGTATGCCTGTTTCCAATTAAAGGTTAAAGCAGGGCTCTGAAAGTTGATATTTTACTCCCAAGAGAAGCAAAGCCAGAGGGAAACCAAGTGAAATTACAAATAGCCATTTCACGTGCAACTTTTGTTTTCAACATTTTGTAAACCAAATTGCTACTTACTTCAGCGGTCATTCGCTCCCTGAAAGCATCCACCTAAAACAGAAAATAAAATCTATTTTGTGGCTAGTGTAATTTGAAAAACATGTCACAACAACACAACAATTTTCTAACAGGCTTTCTAGGCCCTATCTCAATCAATGTCAATCTTTCTTCAGATTTCAGTCATAGGAAAACGGCAACAAGATCATTTAGTCTCTAGAGCCTGCTCTGCAATTCAATTAGATCACATCTGCTCCATATACCCACCTTCTCTTCACATCCCTTATTACTTTTGGTTAACAAAAATATTGTACATCAATCTCACATCTGAAATTAACAATTGACTAATGTAACTTGCAAAACAGAGTTCCAACCTATCAGGTTTTGCACGTATAAGTCTTCTTTAACTTAACTCCTGAAATGCCCACCCTTAATTTTTGATTGTGCCCAAATCCCAGACACTATCTAAACAATGGAAAAACTTTCTTTGTCCTATTACCCATAATACCTTACAATTTTGATCAACTCATCCCTTAATTATTTGCAAATAAAAGGAACTCAACCCCATTTCCCTTGTAATTTAATCCTTGAGTCCACGGATCATTCTGATAAATCAAATGTTACACTCCCTCCCAGGTCAATGTGTCCTTCCTAAGAGCTAGCGTTTAGAACAGTTCACATTAGTCCAGGTGTGGTTTAATAGGAGTTTGTACATTGCAGCATAACCTTGCCCGCCTTGCAATGTAGGCTCTAGATATAAAATGCTGGCATTCCATCAGCCTTTTTGATTACTATCTGCACCTGTCCATGACATTTATGCTTGTACCTCAACCCCCCGTCGCCCAGAAAACTTTTTGGACTTCCAATATTTTTAACATTTTTAAAGGACAATTCTATCACTACTTCACCATTTAGAAAGTACTCTGCTTCTCATTATCCTTTTAGATCCAAAGTCTTTAACCTCAGATTTGCCTGCATTGAAATCCATTTGTCACAGTTTTGCTCGCTCAGCTAATTTATTAAAATCGATTTGATTTTGTTAGTCTCCTTACCCCAATTTATGAAAGAAATAAAACCCCGCATTAAAAACACACTGCCTTTACTAAAGATGCCAGCAGAAGGCGTACACCCATGAAAACTGCACTGAATGCTTAACTTGCTATATCCACATCTCATTGATGTGATTTCATCCTTAATCATTGTGGGAATGGCCCTCCTCCTACCATTTCCCCTTTCTTTCCTGTATACCTTATAATCTGTTATTTAGATATTAGCCTTTGCCTGGTCAATTTGACATTAATTCTTTTGGAACTTTGGGGATCTAACCGGGTGCGTTGCTCTTCTTTGTATAAGAATACTGTGGATGCTGGAAATTTGAAACAAACGCAACGAATTCTGGAGAAATTCAACAGGTCTGGCAGCATTTGTGGAGACAGAAACCAAATAAATGCTTCGAGTCAAGCATGACTCTCCTTCAGAACCTTTTGATTGTCGATATCTTTCAGAAGGGAGTTCAAGCATCCCACGAAATACAGCAATATTTTTGGATGAATCATTTTGATAATCACTGCAGTACATGCAGTACCTTAAAAAGGTACCCTTCTGAACAATTTAGCATACACGCTTTGTAAGAAGGATTCAGATGATTCTAGAGTAAACAAATGTAATATTGCTTAAAATATAGTAAATGCAACATCAAGTGTAATTAATGGATTAAAGTAATTTGTAGAGGCAGTGTTGAATGGATAAAATTGTGAATAGCAAAGACTTCTGCAAACTTGTACGTTGATCCTAACTTGGTTGTAAGGCTAACAATGGAATGACAGAATATTAGAAGTGAAAAAAGTTTGAGTTCGACAAGAACCAAATACAACATTTAAAAGACAGATTGTAAATGTAAAACATTCAATATTACAAACAGATGACAGTACATTATGGGACTGAATTTAATTTTTTTTGTTTTATAATATCCTGTGATGGATTAGCTCTTTGAACATTGACTTAGGATCTGAACTTTATCACAAAACCCAAATATAGAACCATCAGCATTTAAGCATGGTAGAAAAGGTACAAAAGGTACAAAAGGTAGAAAAGGTCATAATTCATATAAATATTTAAACAAGATAAATGGAAGTCTAAATATTTTTCAGTAGATTAGAAAATTTAAGCAATTTAACACAAATTTGTCTGGATTTATTATGCCAGAATTCTTGAAAAAACGCCAAGACTTCAAAACGGTGGGGATTGGGAATGGCGGCTGAGGAAAAACCACTATCAGTGATGACCTGCCCTACACACAGCCGTCTTCTGGCCATGAATAACCTCTTGATGCATTTCTCATCAGCTGTTTACTTTTAAAAATGCTTAAAAAAAAACAAGAAGTTGTATTATTGTTATGTGATTCTACAGGTTGAAAGTACACGAGAACAATTTAGTACATTATAGATATTTTTAATCAACATATTTCACTATGTTATTATACACATCTGAAGTCAATGGGACTTGAGCCTAGGCTTCCTGGCCCAGAGGCGAGGACACTACCATTGTACCACAAGAGTCCCCAATTAGGTATATATACATTTATGCCACATAATCAGACATATTTGCAGTTAACAGTCTTCGAAAGTACAGAATTGTTCTGAGTGTTTATGTTCATAGAATCTCTTCCAGCCCTATTTTTATCTAAGCCATTAAGTATTTCCTTCTGTCTTTCAGTAATAAGTTTCATGTTCTGATGACTTTATGGATGAACAATCTTCTGAATTCTTCATTAGATTTATTAGTGATTAACTGGTCCTCTAGCTTTAGACCTCCCCAACTGCCTTACAACCTTCATCCTCAATTTATGCACTTGCCTTATCTTATTCTATGTTCTGGCCACTGCATCACATCTACATTTCAACATGCATCCTCTAGTCTTTCAAATCTTAGCTCTCACATCAACAGGCACTAGAGTCATTAACCACAGTACCACTTCATTTCCCAGTTCACAAATATAGGGCTAAAATGTCCACAGTGGTCAACTGCATCTCAACTCAAAATAGGAGAGTCTATTGAATGTATTATTTAAGAGTTACGTTTTGAGGAGACTCCAGATGAAGTGGGGAGATAGAATAAAGGTGTTGTGCAATTGCTAGTTTCAGCACAAAGGAAAGATAAATGTTCTGTCCCCCACCTTCCCAAAGCAGCCATACTTTTAAAAAGCTTGTGCCCTATAGTATCAGATTTAGTTCCATGAACAGGTGCCTGGTTAGCAATGAAGAGCTTGCTTGGGGGAGCGGAGGGGAAAGAGAGACACAGCAAACATTAACAGCGGTATGGACTCTGTCCAGAGGCTGCCAGAACTCCTGAATATCTCCAGCACTGTTTTTGTTTAGAAAAGAAGTACATTCTATTCGCAGCAAGACACAACGCGTGCTGCTATTCTGAGTCAATGCGAAAGCCACAACGTCTGAGCTGAAAGCAGGCAGCCCCCAAACAGCAGGCCGCCCTGAGTCACATGTAGGGCTTTCTCAGACCTGGCGGGGGGGGGGGGGAGGCTCGGGGATGCAGGCCGGCGGATGGATTGCTGGGGTTGGTAGGAACCGGGCGAGTTAAAACCCTAAACCTGCCCCGGGGCGGTAGGGTGGAATTAGGAGGTGAAGCCGTGGTCTAAAGCCTGTTTCGGAAACAACGGATGGGGTTTGTGCTTTTTGTGTGGATGGGTGAGAGGGGTAAGAAATGGGTAAAAGAAGGGGAGAGTGTAGAGGGAAAGGTTTAAGCCGCCGGGTAAGAAGCAGGCGGGAATAACGCCGGTTCTGGGCCGGCCCCTACCTTGGTCCTGAGCGCATTGTCCAGCTTCAACAAGCCCGACATGTTGCAAAGAGGCAGCGCGAGCCCGGCGCCTGACGTCAGGCGCCGCCCGCCCATTGGCTGCCTTCATGTAGCAAAGCGAGACGTCGCAACTCAGCCCGGAAGTGAAGGCACTTCCGGCCTCAGGAGAAAGAGCCGGAAGGTGGTGGGAGGAGGGTAAAAAAAGGAGAAAAGAACAACAATATCATTATCACCAACAGTGCTGTGTGAGTGAGAGGCAGAATAGAAACTTCCTCCGACCTCTTGGCTCACCATGTGGCTGTCCTGAGTTGTTTGTTCAGCATCAGGTTTCCCTCCTTGGCAAGTGAGAAACAGATGAGGTACATTCCCGCTAGCGTTGACTTTGTTTCTCACCTCAGTTTAAGCTTAGCGTTTTCACGAGCTGTAACTGTGCAGGTTTTAAGCCTATTCCTATTCTCTTTCTTCCCCCTCCCTTTTTATTTGTAAGTAGAATTGGGGATAGCTGCTTTTATGATCTTTTCATGGGGAAAGGGAGACGAGCAGTCGCTGGTGGTTTCGGTATGAAGAAACAAAACGCTGTCGGCATCTGAAAGGTTAATATTTCAGCTGGGACCTGTGGCTAGACAAGGGGATGGGAGAACATTTAAAAGCCCATTATTTGGGTGTAAGTGGTGGCAGTGCACTTTGATATTGACTGAACTCTGCATTTTCTACTCGTATTTTAAAGTTCCAGTTATTGAGATTTTTTTAAAAAATCTTTCTAAATAACAGATGTAAGGGTGACGAACTGGGCTTTATTTTTGTTGGCATTAGCTCCTACTTCGTCTTCTTCATGAGAAATTGTTTGTGGTGTAAGATAATTGGTGTTTTGTGGGAGGGAAGTTCTAGTGATCATCTGTTGGAATATCATGCTGCCGGATTTTCAGCATTATGGTTACTCTACGTGACTAGTTTGTCATGCACTTTTTTTTTGCTTTAATCCCTCCCCAACTGGTGTGCACCATCTCAAAATCTTGTCTTTCCTTCATTATGCTGCCTCGTGTTGCATGCTAAAATAACTTCAGCCATTTAGCCATCTGTTGTTTTCCATTGTGCCCATTATAGCTAATTTTGCTTTGTGTGAGCTTTACCCTTTTTCCTTTACTTTGCTCCAATGGTATTCTTGTCACCTATCAGATGTGAGATTTCAGATGAATCTGATGAAGTGACCAGAATTGAATTGTTCATTTGGTTGCTGTCCACACAATTACAAGTCTTACCTATTAGGAGCTTCCACCATCTTCTGTTTGTTTCAATGTACAACATCTGCAATATTTTCCTTTGTTTCATGCTTGATCTGCAGTTTTCAGTGTAATAAAGCAGAATTTATGTGAAAATTTCACACATTAAGTTAGGCCGGGAGAGTTCACAATGGGGCAGGTTGTTTCTAGTTTGTGGTAGGAATAGCCAAATTGTTTTCTGTGCTTTCTTATTTTGTATAGCTATGGAAGGTTCAAAGTCTTCAAGCTCCACTATGCAAGTGAGCTTTGTGTGCCAGCGTTGTAGTCAACCCCTAAAGCTGGATACGTCCTTCAATGTCTTAGATAGAGTGACAATTCATGAACTTACAGGTATGAAATTGCAATAATAGTATTCTTTCATTATTGTTAGTTGATAAGTTGGTTGCAGTCTTGTTTCTGATTCTGTAGGTTGTGGGTTCAAGTCCCACTCGAGGCTAAAGTTTGAAAATCTGACTTGACACTTAGTGCAGCACTCTCTTGCCACTGCTTCAATCAGTGGTTCTGGTTTTCATTTGAGATAGCAAACTAATGCCCCATCTATAACCATAGAAAGACAGAATTTTACAGTACAGAAGGAGGCCATTTGACCTGTCACGTCTGTACTGGTTCATGAAAAAGCTACTCGGCTAGTCCCATTCTCTATCTCCTTGACCCTCTAAATTCATCACTTTCAAATATATTTCCAATTCTCTTTTGAAACCTCCACCACTCTCCCAGGCAGCACATTCCAAATCCTAATAACTATGAGGAAAGAGGTTTCTCCTCCTCTCACTCTTGGTTCTCTTGTTGATGATCTTCAAATTGTGTTCCTAAATTACTGATGTATCAAATAGTGGATGCAAAATATCCTTCTTTACGCTGTCAAATTTGTTCATAATTTTGAGCACCTCAATAAGGTCACCTCTTAATCTTCTCTGCTCCAAGGAGACGAAGTCCAATTTTTCTAATCTGAAATCCTTCATTCCTGTTACCATTCTTGTAAATCGCCTTTGAAATCTCACAGGACTTTAACATCCTTCCTTAAATAAGATGCCCAGAACTGAATGCACTACTCTTAATGTGGTCTGACCAATAATATATAGACATGTAGCATCACTTCCTTGCTTTTATACTCTCTGCCTCTATTTATAAACCCAAGGATTCCATAAGTTGTCTTAACAACCATTTCAGCTTGCTTGGTCACCTTCATGTGAACCCCGAAGTCCCTCTGTTCCTGTATTCCCCTCAAAGTTGAACCATTAAGCTTGTATTTTGTGTTTCTTCTACCAAAATGCATTACCTCACATTTTTCTGCATTGAAATTCATCTGCCAGAAGTCTGCCCATTTGGTCACCTTGTCAATGCTCCTCCGAAGGCACTCTGTATCCTCTTGTCAATTCACTATTCTCCTTAACTTAGTATCATCTGCGAATTTAGAGATTTCTCCCTCAACATCCAATCCCAAATCGTTTATATAAATCAAAAAAAAGTCCCAAAATAGATTCCTGGTGAAAACTACTTTCAACTTGTGTCCAGTCTGAGAAATGCCCACCTATACCCATCCCTTTGTAGCCAACTTCTAAACTATGCTGCCATTAATCCCAAACATTTGTAAATTGCTAAGGAACCTGCCATATGGCATCATATCAAATGCTTTCTGAAAGTCCAAATATACAACATCCATGGCATTACCCTCTACCACTGCCTCGTCAAAGAGCTCAATTAAGTTTGTCAGATGTGCACTGCTCTTGATAAAGCAATATTGACTCTGTATTAACTTAGTTTTCTCTAAGTGTATATTTACCTAATCCTGTATTGTGGCCTCCATCAGTTTTCCCACTACAGATGTAAAACTGATAGATTGGTAGTTTCCTGGGTTATCCTTTGCCTCCTTTTTAAACATGGGGTTATATTTGCAATCCTGCAGTCCCTGGGACTAATCCCATGTTCAGAGAAGCCTGGATTTCCATCAATGGCTCTACAATTTGCTCCCTTCTCTCTCAGCAATCTAGGATGTATCCTGTTTGGTCTGGCTACTTCTGTGCCTGGAATTCTGCCAGCCTTTGTGACACCTCTTCTTTATCTACCATGTACTATTTGGTTGCTCAATACCCACATTTTCAACTGAGCAATTGACTTTACCAAATTAGAAAATGGTGACAAAGTGAAGCACTTGCTTAAGACCTCTACCATAGCCTTTGATTAAGTAAGATGTTTACCCTGCTTGTTCCTTTATGGACCCCACTCTATCCTTAACTAATCTTTTACTATTAATGTTTGAAGAACGTTTTACTACTTTAGTGCAGCCTCTTAGCTTCCTCATTCCAGCCTTAGCCTCTCTCTCCTGTGTATGAAATACTGTTCCTGATTTCTGTTATTATAGAATCCCTGCACTGTAGAAAGAACTGTTTTGCCCCTCGAATCTGCACTGACCCTCAAAGCATCTCACACATGTTCAGTCCCCTACCCTATCCCTGTAACCCTGCATTTTAGCATAGCTAATCCACCTATCCTGCAAGTCTTTGGACTGTGGGAGAAACCAGAGCACCCGAAGGAAACCCAGGGAGAAAGTGCAAACTCCACACAGACAGTCACCCATAACTGGAATCAAACCCAGGTCCCTGATGCTGTGAGGCAGCAGTGCTAACCATTAAGCCACCACATCACCTAATGATGTTGCGATTATTAGTCCAGTACACATCATATGCCTCCTTTTCCTTCCTTTATTTTCTCATCAATATCCTTAGTTGAGGTTGGTCGGCTCGCCGAGCTGGTTTGTTGTTCTGCAGATGTTTCATTACCGTGCTTGGTAACATCCTCAGTGCAGCCTCTGATGAAGCGTCGGTGTGTTTTCCCGCCTGGTTTTTAAACTCTGGGGTCCGTTGCGATGGATTGCCTCACTTCCGGGTTTCCTCCTTAGTGGAACGTATATGGGGTCGAGTTCAATGTGTTTATTAATAGCATGCTTCGTGGAGTGCCATGCTTCCAGGAATTCTCGTGCTTGTCTCTGCCTAGCCTGTCCCAGGATCTTGGTGTTGTCCCAGTCAAAGTCGTGGTTCTCCTCGTCCATGTGGATTGAGATGAGTGAGTATTGGTCGTGTCTTTTTGTAGCCAGTTGGTGTTCATGTACTCTTGTTGGTTAGTTTCCTTCCTGTTTGTCTGATGTGGTGTTTCTCGCAGTCTCTGCAGGGGATCTTGTAGTTGTGCGAACACTATTTAAAAGGGCAACAACACACTGCAGCAACACGGAACTACGCCAAGAGGAGGAGGAATACCTCTTCCAAGTGTTCAAGGATAATGGATATCCAAAGAACTGAGTCAGGAGATGCTTACAGGAACAGCATCAGAAAGATTCTACACGCCCCGACACACTCATCACACTATTCTACATCAGGAACACGTCAGAATTCACCACAAGACTTCTACGACCACTGGGCATCAGAGTGGCACACAAGCCCACATCAACCCTACAACAAGTGCTCCCCTGAACTAAAGACCCACTCCCCACCATGGACAGGACCAATGTCATCTACAAGATCCCCTGCAGAGACTGCGAGAAACACTACATTGGACAAACAGGAAGGAAACTAACAACAAGAATACATGAACACCAACTGGCTACAAAAAGACACGACCAATACTCACTCATCTGAATCCACATGGACAAGGAGAACCACGATTTCAACTGGGACAACACCAAGATCCTGGGACAGGCTAGGCAGAGACAAGCACGAGAATTCCTGGAAGCATGGCACTCCACGAAGCATGCTATTAACAAACACATTGAACTCAACCCCATATACATTCCACTACGGAGGAAACCCAGAAATGAGGCAATCCATCGCAACGGACCCCAGAGTTTAAAAACCAGGCAGGAAAACACACCGACGCTTCATCAGAGGCTGCACTGAGGATGTTACCAAGCACGGTAATGAAACGTCTGCTGAACGACAAATCAGCTCGGCGAGCCAACCAACCTCAACACCCACAACCTGAGCTACAGATCTACTCCAAAACCTTAGATATCCTTAGTTATCCAGGGAACTCTAGTTTTGGATGCCCTGTATTTATTTCTCATGGGTAAGTACCTAGCTTTCACCCTATTCTTCTCTCTCTTTTGAACATCTCCCACTTTTCATCTACTGTTTTATCCACTAAAAAAAAATGTTTCCAATCAATGTGCTCCACTTCAAATTTTAGAATCCTAATATCTACCCTTTTCAGTCTGGGATCTTTAATCCTTAACTGATTTTTATCATTTTCCAACTTAATTGTTATACAATAAAAGTTCAATATTGTTATTTCCCAAATGCTACCCCACTCTTATGTTCTCCACTTGGCCTGCCTCATTTCTTACGACCAGATCCAGCAAAACTTTCTCCCTGTTAGGACTGGAAATGTATTGTTCCAGAAAGTTCTCCTGCACACATTGCAGGAATTTTTCCCCTTCCATACACCACACTGTACCTTTGTTCCAGCGTGCCTTAGGGTAATTGAAGTCATCAATTATCACAACTCTGCTTGACCTGCAGATTTCCATAATCTGCCTGCAAATGCTCTCTCCTACTTCCTCCCCAGTATTCAGAGGTCTATAAAAAACGGCCAGAAAGGTCATTGCTCCCTTCCTGTTTCTCACTTCCAAGCATATATATTCATATCTGCCATAGCTACTTCCAGTTTGAAGCGAAAGATCCCAAGAAACTATTTCAAAGAAGTGTTCATTCTGTTCTTTCAAATATATATCCCTCAATCTACATCATAAAAACAGATTTATCTGGTTATCGTTGCACTGATGTGTTGCTTTTTGTTTGAAAACTGGCTGCTGTGTTTCCTACATTATAACAGTAACTCCACTTCAAAATTACTTCATTGGCTGTGATTGTTTTAGGACATCTTGTCATGAAAGGTTCTTTTGGCAAATCTCTTTTTGTTACTGATGATCTTTGAATACTTTAACTTTTATTCCAGGTAGCAACCTACTGGAGTAACTTGATAATACTGGCCACAAATATCCAATTTTAAAATAAAATCTTCCTCTTGCAGCTATTGTGATTGAGATGTATGTAAAGAATGACATGTATGTAAGTTTCCTTACTAAACTTGATCAAAATTAACAGGGTGGCTCAGTGGTTAGCACTGCTGCCTCACAGTGCCAAAGACCTGGGTTTGATTCTGGCCTTGGGTAACTCTGTGTGTAGACTTCACATGTTCTCCCTGTTTCGGTGTGGTTTTCCTCCAGGTGGTTTGGTTTCCTCCTACAATCCAAAGATGGGCAGGTTAGGCGGATTGACCATGCTAAATTGTCCTGGAGTGTCCAGGGATGTGTAAGCCGGGTGGACTAGCCGTGGGAAATATGTGGTTACAGGAGATTGTGGGGGAGGGTACAATACAATGATCAATCTATCACCTTACTGCAAACAGAAAGCTGACGGATATGATCAGTATCAATCCTGACTACGTTGGTGGTGTCTTTGTACATTGACAGTGTGTCTGTATTTTTTTCTTTGAATTGGTGAAACAAAATGTGAGTATATTTGAACTGAAATTGAAAGCTACTTATAGCAAGGAAGTGCAGAAAGCCCATTAGAGTGAGTCCTGGGAACAGTTGAGATATTCTGACAGGAGCATGAGACCAAAGAACTACAATGGTTTGGGTGGGAATTCCATGGAATGAGCATAAATGTTATTGTGACAGGGCTTGAGTGTAGTTGGGAGGAAGAGAAAGATATTTTAGCATAGTATGTTAGTTGGCAGTGGGAAAGCATAGGTTACAGCAGTGATGGGTTAATCTTTTGTGTGTAGATGTATTTTGGGAAAATTTTTGTTGGATCTGAGACTACTAGGAGACGGGAGCAATGGGAGAATAATCCTTCTTGAATTTATCCCATATCTCTGCCTTCATATATCGTCAGGTTCGTTGTTTTTCCAGCCCTAAATGGGGAAGACTATATATTTAAAATCATAATGCGTTACAATAAATAATATTGTGCACTTGGAGAAAACAGCAAATTTCTATAGTACTTAACACAAGTAATGTCCCAGACACTCGATGAACCAAAGGGGAGAATTGTGAGAAATGTTTGGGTTTTGTAGGCAAAGAGAAAGAGACAGGGATTTCTAAAGTGTCAGGCCTGGTGACTTAAGGCAATGGTGAGGAAAAACAGAAAATGAGTGAAAACAGAATTGTGTGGTGGAACAGCATGATAGAAATAACATTCAAGAAGTGATGAGTACAAGTTTCATCATAAAAAATTTGAATGCAGTACTGTATGTTAGCATGGGTTATTTCAATAGTAACAGTGCCCCCAGATAGGTGACTCTCAGATGCTTACTCAGCTTTATACAAACATTTTTAGCACATAGCCCACATTTTTCCTCTTCTCAAAAAAAAAGTATTCTAATCATTTCGGTACTAGATGATATTTAGATCGTCCAAACCTATTGTTTCCGTAGGGAAATCAAAAAATAATGTTAAAAAATGATTACTATTAGAAGATCAGTAAGCCAAAAGTTAACCTGTTTTATCCAGCCCCTTTGGTTACAGTTACTCCTATAAAGCCAGAAGAAGACAAGGTGGAAAATGGCAACTCTGCAGAGGTAAGAACTGAAGTAGCTGTATATAAATCAATTAAGTCATAATTAAATTTTAGTTGCTGTGTACTTGACTATTATTGTTAAATATTCTGGTATGTTGTGTGTTGCTGAAGTATACTGAGTGCATCATGTTCTGGGAATTCCCTTTGTCGGTGTAAATGTATGGATTGTGCCATGTATAGTACACATTGTGAACCTCATTGAATTGGTAGTATGTGGTGGTGTTTTACAGCTGCTTTATGACACATCCAAAAAGAGTAAGTTTGATTGCACTTCCCAAATAGGCACATCACTTTCCTTTCTGTCAAATTGATGCTCTAAGGGGAAGGATTTGTTTCATATTCAAATTATAGAACAGGTGGAAAAATGCAAAAAATGAAAAACTCAAAATCGATACGCTGGATTTTGCTGGATAGAATGTTAGAATGGGGGAGTGCTGTCTTGGAGATGTCATTAACTGTGGCCGTTGAACGTCAAAGATCCTGTGGCTCTGCAGGGGAAGCAGCCAGGATTTTCTTGGTATGTGGAATACATGGCTCCATCTACCAATACCACCAGAACAAATTGATTAGTTATTAATTCAATTGTGTTGTGTGTAAAGCTACATGACAATGATTTTATTTCAAAGTAATTCATCCAGAGTTGAAATATGAAGCTATTTATGTAGATCTTTTCTCCCCAGCAATTTCTTCTGGAACATTTCTCAAAATATTATTTTAGTTTTGATACAAGGAAGAGAGAGAGAGATGAATTTGACTATTTTTACTGCTTTCTTCAGTCTATAACGACTTTTTAAAAAAATTCTAATTTCCTTATATCCTTTTCCTTTTTAAAAACAGATGGTGGTCTATTTCCCCGGAAATCCAATTTAAAATGACCTACAGCAAATTCTTTAGGATTAAAACAAAGCAGGGTTTATTATTGCATTCAAAAGCCAAGGGAATGGTTTGTGACACACATTGTCCCACACATGCACCCAACAAAGAAAAATAAGTTACAAGTTGCTTAAAATTTAAGATATCAAGTTTGGTTCTCATAAATTAGTGAGTCCAATACAAGAGTAAGTGCTCAGATATTGTTGGATGGCTGCTGGTATAGTAGTTGTGAGTTGAATAACTTGGAAAGTAAAACAAAGTTTATTTGGAGAAACCATACTTGTGGGAGATATTGAGACCAGAGACAGATGAGCTGTCTAGCTAAGCTGGGAGCTACTCACTATTCTAATGTTATAAGCAGATTGTTGAACAAAAATCAAGCTTTATTACCCAGACAAAAGTGAATTCAACACTTCCTGGAATATGACAATCTGCATTCTATGAACGAGGATATTTAAACAAACCTGCAGCCTCAGTCATGTGACTGGAGTTTTTGGTTTAACCACTTAACTAATAAGTTTTGATGTCCTGGCCACCAACTATTGTGTTTGGGCCAGATAACTGTGGAATTGCTAGGACCATGTTGAATAATAATTGACTTCAATGGTCTCCTTTTCGCTCAGAACTGGCTGAGGTAAACATCTTGAATATTAATCCTTTATGTTGGTTTGGCTAGAATGTTCATTCAGTGCAGAGCATCGTATATCAGGAAGTTCACTTTTGTCTAGGTAATTGTTAGAAATTTATGGAAGCAGCCACCTTGCTCATTCTGTGTTTGACAGCAGCTATTTTAAGATCAAGCAAGAATCCATTTTAAGAAAATTTAAGCATGAGAATTTCATTATATGAAAATCTCTCTCTTCCTGCCCTCTGGGCGTTACAGTTTCAAAACTAAATTGTTGCGCAAAACATACATCAGTTGGTCTTCATTTTGACTTCATTTAAGATGCTTTATTTTTCAGGAAGCTTGCACAGAAAATAAACCAGATGGTGTTTCCCGAAAATATATTCCTCCTGCTCGGTCAGTACATGTAATTTAACTTTATAAATACTAAATCAAGTTATAACTTTTTTCTTTCCACTATCAAATGGCAACTAATATATTAATTTTGCCATGCTGATGGACTGAACTTGTGTTTCATGTGCTTTGATGCAAAATGATGTATCATGTGATAGAGATGGAACTTTGAACTTTATCACAAGCAGGGAAGGAAGACCGGAGGCCAAGTCATTTGGCTTGTTCTTGCACATTTCTTGCTTCTGACTAGATCCATTTTGCTTCATGGCATCTTGTCTAAAAAATGGGGGAAGGAAAATAAATGGAAAAATTTGATGTATAATATTCCACAGTGCAGTAGAATAGTAGATTTTCAAACTAGCATTTAAATTGTCATTTCTTTTCAATATAGTCTCTTCCAAAATTGCCACAATGTTTTATCGAGCGAGGTAATTGTTTCTGGTGCTGAGCTGTGTAGGTAGAAAGGTCCTACTTTTGATACCTGTTATGCTGATACTGCAGGGATAATACAATGCAATTTATTCTTTGCATCATTTAGAATGAGGAAGGGTGTTTACCTATTATTATTGTAAACCAGTGACACATGGTGGAAATGAGAATATCTCTAAAATGTGTTGAAGACAGGATGTAGTTCTGTTGAGGTGCAACTGTTGATTAGTCATGCTTGTCTTAGTGCAAAGTTCACTAGATTGATTCCTGTGATCAGCACGTTTTGACAAAGTTGAGTAGACTGGGAATTAGAAGGATGAAAATCGTGTTAAACAGGTAAAATGCTTGATATTTGACAGGTTGGATTTTTGGAGGCTATTTCCCCTGGGTGTAGAGTCTAGAACTAGGGGTTACAGTCTCAAAACAGATCAGCATTTACAAACAAGATGGGTAAATATTTACTGAAGGAGCTGTTTTCCTTGGAATTCTTTACCGCAGAATTGCAGATGCTCCGATAATATTTATATTGAAGATTGAGATCAAAGATTTTTTGACTAAGGGATGGAGGATATGGAGTTAAGGCCATAATACCACAAGAAATAGCAACAGGATTAGGCTGTTTGGCCCTTCTAGCCTGCTCCATCATTCAAAAGGATTATGGCTGAAACAACGTTCCTCATGTCCACTTTACTGCGTTTTCCCTGTAATCCTTGATTCCCCTACTGATCAAGAATCTATCTGTCTCAGCCTTTAAGTATATACAAGGATTCCATACTCTCAGCTCTCTGCGACAAGGACTTCCAAAGAGACTCAACCCTTAGAGAAGAAATTCCTCATCTCGGTCTTAAATTGGCACCCCTTTATTCTGAGATTATGGCCTCTGGTCCTAGAATCTTCCATGAGGAGAAACACCCTTTCAGTATTTACCTGTCAAGCCCCTTAAGAATCCTGTGTGTTTCATTGAGATCGCCTCTTATTCTTCTAAACTCCTGTGACCAGCATCTCAACCTGTTAGGCTTTGCTCATAAGACAATCCCTCAATAGTTTGATGTGGGAAGGTGGAGTTCTGGTAAAAGACCAGTCATGATTTTATTGAATGATGGAGTAGGCTTGAAGGGCTCAGTGGCCATCTCTTTCTCACATCTCATGATATCTCTTACATTTAAAAGTGTTTCATATACTTTTGAAATACTGTATCTATTCTGTTGTTAAACTCTATATATTTCAGAACTTTATCTGACCAATAGTTAAAGGAAGAAGAGAAAATACGGGGGGGCGGGGTGCGGTGGTGGGAAATGGAAAAATACCTCTTCATTACCCTTATTACCTTTAACAGTGTACTGGAGAAAGCATGCTTTCTGTCTAAATGTCTGTAGACTTGATTACATAATTTCACAAATTCATTGTAAACTATTCAATACCACCAAATAGATGAAAATTATAATTTCAAATCCTAAACCAGGTATATAATTTAAAATACTTTGATATCTTACTTTGAAGACATTTATTCACATGGTTAATTTAGTCAGGTTATTGGATTGTCCGTTTATGAATGCAATGAAAAAATGCAATGTATTTATTTTCTTCAATTAGTGGAACTACATCTTTTGTAATTTTAAAATAGCAGATATATTTTCTTGAGCTTTGTGATTATTTGGAGAATTGTTATAATAGTTTAATCTTTTCTAGGATGTTGTCCACTGAAAGTGCTAACAGTTTTACTCTCATTGGAGAAGCTTCTGATGGCGGCACAATGGAAAACCTAAGCCGAAGACTCAAGGTTAGTGATAACTATTCATCATTGTTCACTTGTATACAGCAAATATTTTCAATTATATTTTTTAATAATGCAGTTTACAGCAAAACACTCTTGTACGTGAAACAACGTGTGTCTCTGTATAATGCTTTCAAACAAATCCCTCTGATGCACTGATAATGCTAGGTCAGATCGCATAGTCCCATCCAAAGTTATTGACACCTTCAGGAAATAATGTTATGCTCAAGATTTTCAATATGTGATGGTTATTTTTCAATAGAGTTTATTTTCATTCAAACCAATTTATGGAGTCTTCAGTGTGTTTTTTTTTATTAATTTCAAAAGATAGAAATGTTTCTGGACTTTAGATTATAGAAAAATTGATTAAAATTGAACAGCAGTCAAATTTCAAAAAGAAACTTATTCTTCAGATTGGTTTCCTGTTCTTTGTTCAGAGGTAGTTTGGGAATCTGATTATGATTGTGATCTTTATCATCAAGATGGAGGGGTGTAGGTTTCAAAGCAAATCATCTCTATATTCCATGGTTACAGGAGACTCAGTCAACCCCTCTACAGTTTTGTGGCCCAGGAGAGGTGCACATTTATCCTGCTGCATATTGCTCCTATGGTTTTTGCTAATCTTGGTCTATCACTGGGAAAAACCCCATATTTGTTGAGCTGCTCAATGCAAATGCAGGACCAGTATCTGCTTATTGGGAGAGGTTTTTGACCATCACAAGATGTTTAAGAACGTTCCCCGCCCCCCCAACCCTTTTCTCCCCCCCCCCCCCCTCCCCCCCCCCCCCCACCACACCCCCTTCTCATCCACTAAGTCCATCCCCCACTGCACCACACCTTGCAGAGATTGAGAACATCAGGACAAGGCTAGGGTGAACCACCACCTGGGCTTGGTGCAGGATGCAGTCCTGCAGGAAGGGAAGCTTGTGACTTTACCACTATGCCAATGCCCTCATAATAATGTCACTGGACATAGTAATCTGGATCATCTGGCAAATTCTGGGAACATGTTCAAATCACACCATGACAGATGGTGAAATCTGAATTCATCAACAAAAACTAGAATTAAAAGTTAGTCTGATGGTGACCATAAAACCGTTGCCGATCATTTAAAAACCCATCTGGTTCACTAATGTCTTTTAGGGAAGGAAACTGCCATCCTTAGCTGGTCTGGCCTACATGTAATTCCAGACCCACAGCAATGTGGTTCACTCTTATCTTGATTAAATTTAAGGATTGCCAATTAAATGCTGGCCAAGCTAGTGATGCTCACATCCCGTGAGTGAGTTTTTAAAAAATTACCAATGCTAGATCTCGCTGGGGACTTACTAGGAGATGTGCTTGCTAATTAATTATGTGGTTTGTTAAAAGTCAGAAATTCTTGGATTGGACAGGTGATGTCCTGTTGCTTTCTGGTTGCCCATCCCATGTGTTGTCGAGCTTACTGACTCATTAAGACTAAGTCAAATTTTGTTACTTCCTCCTAGCACATTTAATTTCAGTATGTTGTCTACATTAATGTAAAATAAAATTGTATATGTCATTAAATTCTGTTGGTACTTGTTATTAAATAGGTGACAAGTGATCTGTTTGACATCATGTCTGGTCAGACAGATGTGGACCACCCTCTCTGTGAGGAATGTACAGATACGTTGCTTGATCAGTTGGACCAGCAACTGAATGTTACAGAAAATGAATGTCAGAATTACAAGTAGGTTACTAATATTATCTCTCTTGTATCCAAAAATTATACATGCATTATCATCAGAATTAATTCCACTTAGAAAATACAAAACTTTGATCAGCAGAACCAAGGCCACTAAGTTCCAGACAATGTTGTAAAGAGTTAAACATTCCCAAGAAAAATAATTTATATTTAATATCTGAGAATAACATTTTCAAAACTACATTCTGAGGCGGTTGCGTGGTTGTCAGCTTTTTGGTGAAGTAGAATCCATTTGATGAGATGTGACTGAATATTTGTATGTTCTTGATGCAGGAACTGTTTAGAGATACTTGAACAAATGAATGAGGAAGATGAAGAGCAACTGCTGCAAGAGCTGAAAGCACTGAATTCCCAAGAGGACTTTTTAATCCAGGAACTTGAAAATGTGGAAATGAAACGGAAGAAGGTAGCAGATGATTTGGCTGAAGTTAGGGCAGAGACTGAGAGACTCCATCAAGAAGAAGCCCAGTGAGTAGACCAAGTTTTAAATGTAAAAGTACAGCGCAGTAATTGATGGCACACAATATTTATTGCTTTCCTCAGAGCATGTATGAAACAGGCTTTCTATTGCAAGATTTTTACATTCTCCTATCTAAAACCAGAAATACTGGAGGAAAAGGCGAGGTATATATTACATAAAAACCGAGTTAAGGTTTCGGGTCCAAGTTCTGAGGAAGGGTCACCGGACCCGAAACCTTAACTCTGATTTTTTTTCTTCAGACAAATGCTGCCAGACCTGCTGAGAGTTTCCAGCAACTTCTGTTTTTGTTCCGGAGGTACATAGTACATCCCAGATCACTTGCTCAACAATGAAACTCGACCCAGTTCCGACTGGAAAAAAAATCTGAAATACTGATGCATGTATAAGAATTATGTAAATTTTTCTAGTCTTTTATACAAGTGCAAATATAGTAACTAAAGATGGACTCAGACATGGAGACTTAAATAAATTGACTGTTATTTTCATATCACATTATGTACACCAATACTTAGCACTTTCTCATTGTTTTGGTTCTTTTATTTGTTTCAGCATGAAATTGGTTCATTTTGAGTTTTCAAACTCTTAAGCTAGAATAAGATGCAAGAAACCAGTCATATTAATTTTTGTTTATTTTGCTTTTGTATGAACCTTATGTTAAAGGTACCAGAGGGAGTACTCTGAATTCAAAAGACAGCAACTGGAGCTTGATGATGATTTAACGAGTGTTGGCAATCAAATGCGATATGCTCAGATTCAGCTTGACAAACTCAAGAAAACCAATGTTTTTAATGCCACATTTCACATATGGTGAGAACTAGTCACCTTTACCTGTATTTATTCAGTAATGAGTTTGGATTGCTGCAGTT